AAATGAAAAGAATGGCAGAGAATCAGTATTTGAAGAGATAATTGCTGAACTCTTTTCAAATTTGGATGAAGACATGAGTCATTAAGTGGAAAATGCATTCAAGGCATCTAGTAAGATAAATAAAAGCAAACCCAGTCCCAGACACATTAAAGAATAACAAGGACCAAGGGGAAATCTTTAAAATTATCAGAAAAGAAGATAGAATGACTAGCCTAATAGCAGACCTGTCATCCACAAAAGCAGATGCCAAGGACAGTAAAATATCACCCTCAAAAGTCAAAAGGAAAATAAATATAAACCTAGGACTGAATTTTGCTGTTAGCATCAGAGACCTAAGAACAGAGACTTAAACAAATCAAATAACGAGTTCATTGTCAGGGGCGGCAGGGTGGTTCAGTTGGTTAAGCGTAGGCCTCTTGATTTCGGCTCAGGTCATGATCTCAGCATCGTGAGATGGAGCCTGGTGTCAGGCTCCGCGCTCAGCGGGGAGGTTGCTTGTCCCTCTCCCTCTGCTCCTCCCCTTGTTCTCTCTCTCTCAAATAAATAAATAAATAAAATCTTTAAAAAAAAAAGAGTTCATTGTCTCAAATCAAAAGAGCGTGGAAGGGGAGAGGCCATCACAAAACCTGGAGTCCCACTCCCCTTGTTTCTGCTCTGCTTTCCTTAGCTTGTGGCTTCTCTCTTCATTGTCCCATGGAGACTCCCATGTCCCACCAAAGTACAAGGGTAAAAGTGTGTCCCTCTAAGCTAAATTGGCCCCCTTTAGGAAGATTTCCCCCACTCAGTGTTTCCTGCTTACATCTCATTGACCACTCATGACTATGAGAGTCTGGAAAATGTAGTCTTTCTGCTGAGCACACAGCTGCCCCAAATAAAATTAGTGTTCCAATTGCGGTTCTAAGGAAGAGGGAGGACAAGAATGTGGGATGGCCAGCTAGCCGTCACTGCCACAGCTTTTATTTAAGAGTGTAAGCAAAAGAAAGACATTTCTAGCCATAAAGAATATCAAAAGAATTTTACAGCCTCTCACTAAAAGCATTATCAAGGACGTACTTCATTTAGAAATAAAGTAAACCCAGAGGGAAGATTTGGATCACAAGGAGCAATGGGGACCACTGCAATTTATAACATGCCAGGACGTGCCATTGCAATATACCATAAAAAATAAATATTATTTTTTGTTTTTAAAAAGGTAAAACTAAAACTGCAAGTAAAAATTACAATTTGGTGGAAATATTTCAGCGTGGCAAAATGTTAAGATTTTATAATGCTGGTGGTGAGTATATAAATTATATATTCTTTATATTTGTCTGTAAGTTTGGAACAATTGATGATTTGAAAAATTTACAAAGGTGATACTTAGAAGTTTAAAACATCTATATATCAAAAGACATCATATCACAAAGTTAAAAAGCAAAAGAGGAGGACCAGAGGGGAAATGCTTGCGATATATTCAATGGGGGAAAAAATCAGTATCTATTCTATGGAAAGTTACCATACATCGATAGAGAAAAGACAAAACCCAATGGAAGGAGAGGGAAAGGATATGAATGAGATTTTGTAAAAGAAGAAATACAAATGGCTAATAAATATTTTTAAAAGATGCTCATCCTGTAATCAGGGAAATTCAATAGAAAACAACAATAGGGTGTTCGTTCTTAACCCACCAGAGAAATAAATATTTAGCAAATTGAACATACCCAGTCTTGGCAAGAGAGGAGAGAAGGGCTACTCCTGGACCCTGTCAGTGGACATGTCATTTTTAAAAAAGATTTATTTATTTATTTGAGAGCAAGAGAGAGCACAGCAGGGAGGGGCAGAGGGAGAGGGAAAGAATCCCAGGCAGACTCCACAATGAGCGCAGAGCCCCACACAGACCTCAGTCTCACAACCCTGAGATCAGGACCTGAGCCGAAGCCAAGAGTCAGATGCTCAACTGACTGCACCACCCAGGCGCCTCAGTGGTTATGTCATTTGGCAAAACTTGTTTGGATTGCAATTTGGTAGTACTGAAAGTGTTAGAATAGCTGTACTATCACTTCTAGAAATCTACAAAGGCCACTGAAGATGTGTACTAAAACAGACACATAAGAGTGATCATTGCAACACTTACTACAGTCATCAAAAACTGGGACTAACCTAAATGTCCAACAGTTGGAGAGCGGCAGATAAACAAATAATGATACACGTATACTAGGGAATGTCATGGAGCCACTTTAAAAAAGGAGCAGACCGATTACTTAGTGCCGGGCCTTCCACATTTGGTTTTCTCTTCTCCTGGACAGGAGGCCTCTGCCGCAACCATGTTACGCCACATCATCGGTCAGGCCAAGAAGCATCCGAGCTTGATCCCCCTCTTCGTATTTATTGGGGCGGGAGGTACTGGAGCAACTCTCTATGTCTTGCTCCTGGCATTGTTCAATCCAGATGTCAGTTGGGATAGGAAGAATAACCCAGAACCCTGGAACAAACTGGGTCCCAATGATCAATGCAAGTTCTACTCAGTGAATGTAGATTTCAGCAAGCTGAAGAAAGAAGGTCCAGACTTCTAAATGAAATGTTTCACTGTAAAGCTGCTTAGAATGAAGGTCTTCCAGAAGCCATCTGCACAATTTTCCACTTATCCAGGAAATATTTCCCCTCTAAATGCACGAAATCATGTTGGTGTATTGTGTTGGGGTTTACGCTGAATAATAAATATCTGAGGGCGCCTGGGTGGCTCAGATGGTTAAGCGTCTGCCTTCGGCTCAGGTCATGATCTCAGGGTCCTGGGATCGAGTCCCGCATCGGGTTCCCTGCTCAGGGCAGGGCCTGCTTCTCCCTCTCCCTCTGCCACTCCCTCTGCTTGTGCTCTTCTGTCTATCTCTCTGTCAAAATAAATAAATAAAATCTTTAAAAAAAATAAAAAATAAAAAATGAAAAAATAAATATCTGAAACTTGAAAAAAAAAAAAAAAAAAAAAGAGCAGACCTCTCGAGCGGGACATATTGTGAAGCACGGCAGACCAGCAATGAATACCGCATGAGCGCATGCATGCTGCCTCAAAATCACCCGTGAGTATGCTCTGTGCTTGGAACAGAGACTAGAAGGACACATACTAAAACACTAATAGTGGGGAACGCCAAGAAAGAGCATGGGATAGCCACGGTATGTTCTTCTGTACTGTGTGAATCGTTTAGAAGATTTAATATTTAAAAGACAAGAAAGACAGATAGTAAATGTTCTGGAAGGAGTTCAGGAAACATTGCTAGGCTTCATTTTCCTCATCTATAAAGTGAGCATAACTGCACCTGACCTTGCTCTGATCTGACCTGGAGGTGGGTGGTGAGATTCCAGTGAATACATTAAAGGAGCGATGAACACATATTTGGGGAAAAAGAGAGAGACCATATTCAAAATAATCAATTATCATGGAATAAGTGGGGCCAGGCATTTTCCATACATTCCTCATATGAAACAGATGTTAATGTCCTAATTATCTTACCTGGGACATAGTGGGTAAAACCCAGCCTAGTGAGTGGCAGAGCTGGGGACAGAACCAAAGGGGCTCTGTCTCCTGCTTTCCCAGAAACCCCAATGCTCAGCATCTGTTGAGAAGACGTAGCTGCAAGGAATTCCTCTTAGTCTCCACCACTCTCCAGCTCGGGGACCTTGGGCGGGTCACTAAACTGCTCTGTGTCTCCGTGTTCTTTTTTTGTAAAATGGATATAATCATAGCACCTACTACAGAGAGTTATCATAAAATCAAATGAGTTAATACATGTGAAACACAGCAGCACCCAGCACAGTGACTGGTGTGGGCATGCTGGCTCTCACTATTATTTGCTTCATCCATCTGGTTGGTCAGTGGGAGAGAGAAGCATTTTCCCAGGCTCTACTGCTGTGGGGTTGAGTAAAGAGTGAAAAAACTTAATATGCATCTCTTTTCTCCCTTGAGAATACGTTGTACACAAACAAACAAAACACTTTAGTATCTTCTTAGTCCCTAATTATTGAGGACATCTCCACCACTCCCTGTCTGCTCCCATGGCAAGTAAAACCCCCACCAGCCCCAGAAATGGGAGCTGCCCATTCACATGGTGCCCACGGCCAGCTGCACTCCAAGCCTCTGCCCGGTCCGACTTAGCATTCATGAATCCATCCTGCCAAACTAAAGAACATCATTCAGGGTTTCTGGAGCCAGCAGATGGATCAGCAGATGGCAAAAGCCAAATGTCCATGTCAAGGTTTCCCTTTGAGGGGCATTGTGGAATTGGCGTTTCCTTCTTAAATTGTGCATCTCCCCAGGACGTGGCATGTCTGCTCCTCTGTCTGCCACAGCACACCAGGGGCCTGACTGAGCCCAGCTCCCCCTCCTGGGACAGGCCACCTCATCTCCCAGACAGCTTCTCAGAGACCTCCCAGAAGTTCATGCACCCCTGTCCACTCCTTCTCCATTCAGTGGGGAAAGAGGTTGATGGAGGGCTAGAAGATGTGTTCTCTGTGCCGGACATGCTGGGGAGCGAGGCTGTGAACTCCGAGAGCTCCAGGGACGGAATGGCTCAGTCTCCTCTCAGGGACGTGCGGAAGCAGGGGCTGCCCCTGTCCTGGCTTCACTCGCTTTGTGCTTCGGGGCTCGGGGCTGCCAAACAGTATCCTCCCACTGGTAGGTAAATGGCTTAGGGAAGTATGGAACAGCAGTGAGCCAAGGATAAAGAGGATAGAGAAATAAAAAAGAAAGCCAGAGAGATAAAAAAGAGCCCTCGGGAAATGGCAGCTCTAGAAGGCAGCAAGATGCTTTCATCTTCCAGCAAAAGAACAGCATCTGATTCTTGGTGTTTGCAGATCTTTGCAAACTGAAGAACATTTTGGGAATATGGGAAGGCAGTGCTCTCTCTTTCAGGAGTGTGACTGTAGCTCCCTTTGACCTAAAGGGGTGGCTTTGGGCAAGTTGCTTAATCTCGCTTAGCTGCAGTTTCCCCTTTGAAAGACAGGATAATCATCTGTACCATATAAGGCAGATTTGGACTTAAACAACATAGAGGTTTATTATCCTGTCATGTGTAGGTCATTCCAAGATGCCATGGCAGTTCCATAGCCATGGGAGGCTCCAGGCTCTATCTTATGATTTCACCATCCCAGGCATGTGGCTTCCGACTTCAAGTTCACCCCATGGTCCAAGTTGGCTGTCAGAATGCCAACCGTGGTGTCTGGATCCTAGGTAGAAATTAGAAAGAAGAAGGGATGGGCAAAAGGGCATACTCCCAGCTGAGTCAGCCCCTTTCAAGGATTTTCCTGGGTCTCCTTCCCACCCTACCCCCCCAAAATTTTTGCTTACATCTCATCAACCATCCCCGGCCATCAGGGAAGGGAGGCTGGGAAATGTCTTCTAGTCTTGCATGTCGCCACCTAGAGTAAAAGGAGGCATCCGTTAGAAAGGAAGCAGATGAGAGGAGATGCTGGGCAGGTAGTCTGGGCTATAAAACCCCAGAGAGTCATTAAAGAACGACAGGAAGTAATACATGCGAATAAGCGCTTCGTAAGCTTGGAGGGTATGCAGGTGTTCACAGTCACGCTCCCCTGTAGATCCTGTAGAGTGGAAAGTGGGGGGGTCAGAGGCATTCAGGGTCAGTAGTCAATAAATGATAGAGCTGGGATTCCAACTTATGCCCATCTATGACTTTCCTGTCCCTTCCCTTCCAATGGGAGAGAGAAAGAATGGGTTTTTTTCGGGAGGTCTGTCGTGGATCTGTGCAGGGGAGGTCAGCAGTCAAGTGTAAACGGCCCAACGTCTACCCCGCTGAGTCTAGATTTCAAGGAGCGGGGATCCCCTTGCGAGCTGAGAGCCTCGGCTGTTGTCCACTGAGTGTGGACCACTGGTGGCCCCCAGTCGTCTTCAGTCTCAGGGAGCTTTGTTTACGATGTCTTCTTTGAAATTATGGATGCTTTTAATTCTACCTTTTACCAAGGTCCTTGGGACCAGAGGCCTTCAGGCACGAGCGCCTAGAAATCGCATCGTATTACATTATTAATTACCGTGTTATCTGGAGTCAACCAATGGACTGATGCTTTGGCAAGCAATGCTGTGAAATAGAAATCTTTCCTCGTCCCTCCTCCCTGCCTCTCCCCAGCGCACAGGCAGAAGGCAGGACATCATCCGCCCAAAGCTGTTCTGAACCCTTTGGAAGAAGCAGCTATGGCTGCTGGAGGCCACTGTCCTGTCCTGTGGGGGTGGGAAGCACTGTGGGTGCATATGAGAGAGACGTTAGCTCACTGGGAGCAGAATGATGGGGACAGACATCCTGGGGTGTCTGAAATCCAAGATAAGGGGTGGGTGGGACCAAGAGGACATGGACCAGCAGAAGATTTGGATTCGGTTAGCTTGTGAGGATAAGGTGCTAAAGAAGGGCTGCAAGCCTTCAGTGGACAGTCAGCCTTCTGAAATACAGGATCCCCCTGGAGTGCAGGCAGAAAGAACCTGGACTTGTTCGAGAAGCCTGAGAGGGAGCCCTGCTGCTTAGACCCCAGAGGGATGTCAGCTGGGTCAGTGGATCAACAGCTCCACGGGCCTGTCCTTGCTAGGCATCTGTGGCTGCCCCCCAAGCCTCCCTCGACTCTGTAGTCGCTTCCTGCTTTCCAAGTAATGCCTCAGAGGTCAGCACGTGGGGTACCTCCACCCAGAAGAGGACCATGAGAATAAGGTGTCAGCCCAGGGACCTGCTCTGCAGAAGGGAGCTCTTCTTTCTCCTTGGTCCCCCCAGTGCCGGGAGCCTTGAACTAATGCAGAGATCCTCTGGATTAAGGGCCATTCCCAAAGGTTTCTCACAGGCTTTCATGACACTCCAGGACAATCGAGGCAGGGCTGCTGGTAGGTGGTGGAGTTTTGAGTTGCAGGTGACAGGTGGTAGAAGCACCCCCTCTCTGTCTCCCACCATCTTCCAAGCGGTCAGACAGGCTGAGTCAGCAAGTCTTGATGGGCTCTTCAAGTGGGAGGCAAACACTTGGCCTCTTCCTGCTGCATCTCTACGGTGAGCAAAATCTCAACCTGCAGGATTGCTGTGAGGATTAAATCACATTCGTAAAACCCTTCATGTTGTGCTTGGTGCAGATTAGCTGCCTAACAGGTGTCAGCAACCTCCTCCGGCACAGGGCTCCTCCCTTAAGTAGTCCAAATGGGAACACAGGTGGGGAGGGCAGGTGGAAACAGGTGACGACTCCAAGGAGGAAGTGTTCTCATATCCTAAGACGGGGGCTCCAGGGACCAGGCGCTTTCACACACAGTGAAGGTCCGGCTCCTCCATCTTTCTTTTCGGTAATGAGAGCCACCAGCAAAGCTTTGGAGAGAGGCAACATGTCATAAAGCATTCAGGTTCAGATGTTGTCCAGTCTCTGCCATGCGCTGGTGAGATATTCTCAGGCAAGTTGCTTAACCTCAGTTAAGCCTCCGTCACCTGGTCTATGGTGACGGAGAGTCATCATGCGGAGAGTCATCATGCCGCCCTCAGCAGGCCGGCAGTCTCTGAGGAAAGCCCCCGAACCAGCCCTGATGGTGCAGGTGACCAGGGAGCTGGAGCCAGCATGCACAGCACCCCAAGGCCCCCCCCTGGTTAGCTCCGGAGCCTCTGCCAGAGAAAGGCCAAAGCCAGGCAGCTGAGAGATTTCTCTTTCCTGGGTGTGGATGAGCATGCAGGAAAACCACCAAGATGAGGCCATCTCCTGTGGGATTCCCACCCTGATTCCACTCTCCTATCGTCATCAGACATGACCTTGCCCAGCTTCACAGCACTTTGGGGGCAGGATAAAGGAGGCAAGAGACTCTGGTCCAGAGAAATGTACACCGCTGGGATCATAGGCCTGGAACGAATGAGAACTCAGGCTTCTCATAACCGATGCCCAAGATTCAGACTCATCTTACTTTCTCATACATGCGTGCACATGGACACCTACATAGATAGCGCCTAAACAAGCTGGACACATACTTTTAAAACTTGCACTTGAAGTCGATGAGAAACAGAGCACCTTTACATGGCAAGCGAGTACTTGGCATCTTCCTTGGTACATCTGTAACAGTGGGCAAAATCCCCACTTGCCAAATTACTGCGAAAATCAAATCACACACAGAAAACACTTCACACAGTGCCTGATGCGGGATAGAGCTTAAGATGTTAACGATGTATTACTGTGTGCAGACTTGTCCCGGATCCACTCACATACAGTCATGCAGGTTGTGCCCTGCCCCATTCCAGGAGACACCAGTCCCATAGATTATCATGTCCATGGCCCTTCCTGGATTTGGGCAGTGTACATCCTGCACCACCATCCTGAGCACAAACCACTCCAGGACATCCCTTCTGCCTTTGACTCTCAGCTGAACTTCCTATCCCTTCACTTGCTCTTCCCCAGCTCTAAATCACCCCACTGGTGGAGAGCCTAAGTGGGGTAGCCAGCCAGGAAGGCAATGTGCAAAAATACTGAGGGCAGTCTGCTTTCTTCGCTCCCTCTCTCAAGGTTTACCTGAATCTTTAGTCTCTTGTCATTTTTTAGGGCCAGTGGCTGGTTTGGGGGGGCACGGTGTGCTGCCTGATAGTGCTGCCTGGGTGCTTGGGAGCCTGGTTGGGCTACAGTGGCCACCAGGTGGAAAAAGGATATTGGGGGTCCCTGGGGTGTTTTAGCTTCAGCACAAGCTGGAGAAAGAAACCGCGGGGCTGATGCTGTTATTTCAGCTTCAGTGATGTTGAGTCCCAACCCCGAGTCATTTATGCGATGAGCCTGCGAGGCAAGGCCAGAGCCCGGCTCTCAAGGCCGGCCCAGTCCCCAATGCACTAATGACACTTGACAGACACCAAATCCTTGCAATTTCCAAACAAAACCTTGACGCTCTAATCCCAGGGCTCCCGGAAACACTCCATTGCTTTGCCAGGCTTTGCTCAGCTGGTTCTCACTGATTGCCAACAATCCCCAGCTGAGCAAGTTCCTTGCCCTCCAGCCCCTCCCTCCCTCTTAACCCTCCTCTGCCCGCTCCCTTGTCCCCGCTTCAGCTGGGGAGCCCTCGGAGAAGCTGGCCAGACAATGCACCCTGACTTATGCTGCTTAAAATTACATCACCTGTTTGTACATGCTTTCTCTGGTTGCTGAAATGACGTCCGCGGGTTGGCGGGGCCGGGATGAGCAGATGCACCCTGTTAATGGTACAGAGTTCCTGGGTTCCTTCAAATATCATCCGCCAAATAGCAAAAGGTGGCAGCCCTTCACTCAAAAAGGCTTTGCACAAGACACGAGACAGAAGCAGGCTCACAGCCAGATTTCAGTTCTTTATACTCCGCTCCAGTTCTTGTTCTTAAAAGAGAGAGGGTGGGCTTTTCTGTATCATTATTTTAATTATGGAATAATTCAGACTTACCAAAAGAAAGGCCAAATAATATCATAAGCAACTGTGTATCCACCACCTAACTTAAAAAAGGGAAATATTGAATGTGTGGAAAGCCACACGGTACGCCAATACCATTTTCTGTTCTCTACCCCAGATGTTACCACCATCTGAAATTGGGTCTTTACTGTCCTCCTGTGTCTTTATACTTCACACTATTTTGTCACCTTTTTATCTTGAGATACTTGTCACTTCACATGCAGAGGTAAGAAATAATAGAGAGAACCCATATAGCCCACACACCCTTCACCCAGTTTCCTCTGGTGCTAACATCTTGCAAAACTATAGTGCAATATCACAACCAGAAAACCGACATTGATGCAACCACTAACCTTGTCCAGATCCCACCAGTTTTATGCACACTTGTGTGTGTTTGTGCATGCATGTGTGCCTGTGTTGGGGGTGCATTTTGCTCTACTTAGCTCTATGCGAGTTTTCCTCATGTGAAGATCCGTGTGACCACCACCACAGTGAGACGCAGACAAAGCTACCTTCATCTCTCTCCTTCCCCAGGCCCCTGACAACCATTAATCTGTTCTTCATTTCTATTATTTTGCCATAGCAAGTTATATAAATGGAATCCTATTGTGTAATCATTTAAGATTGGTTTTTTTTTTTTCCCAGTAAACAGAATGCCTTTGAAATCCATTTAGTGTTGCATCTATCAGTAGTCCGTCCTTTGTTGTTGCTGAGTAGTATTCCACTGTATGGATGTATCACAGTATGTTTAACCATTCATCCACTGGAGAATATTTGGGGTATTTCCAGTTTGGTGCTCTTACAAATAAAGCTGCTATGAACATTTGTATAGAAGCTCTTCTTTGAACATAAGTTCTCATTCTTCTGATGTGAATGGCTGAGATTGCAATTGCTAAGTTTTATGGTAAGCACATGCTATTATTTTTTAAATATGACACTTCTTTGAAACATATAATGGTATCACACTGTGTATATTCTTCCGCAACTCACTTCTCTCTCAACACATGTTCCTTCAATCATATTCATGTTGATATATGTAGTTCTAGTTTATTTACTTGTACTGATATGTAGTAGTCATTATGAATATGCTATAATTTATGTATTCACTCTAGTTCCCATTCTGAAAGGCCTAAAGTTGTGGCATGGGAATGGTTTTGTAGGCAAGAAAGTAATTTGCCTTCCTAGTTTTAGAATGTTGCAATATGGAATAAGCCTTAATTTGTCTAGAAGACAAGACTTGGTAATTTGGTCTTGATTCCGTCCACTAGATTACCTTGGTAAAGTCACTTGGCCTCTCTGAGCTCAGCTTTCTCATCTGTAAAATGGGACCCTTAATAATAATAGTAAATATTTGACTTAATTCTTATGGGAATTAAGTGAAAATATAGTACATTTACTAAAATAAACTAAAACATGTTGAATAAATGGCAATTAATTTTATTAGTTAATGATTACAATTAAATACCAAATACCACCAATGGAAAGAACAACCAAAGTAGGCATTCTTGGACTTTTCATGGAAAATCCAATTTCAAATAATTTCTCCCATTGTCCCCCTAAACTGGCTTGTCAGCCCTGTCCTGCCATCAATAAACAAGGTCAGGGTAACCCCAGAGGTCCTGGTCCTGACCTTACCCTAGGGTGACGATTGTTATTGTACTTTAAGATGAGGAACCAGAGGCTCAGACACTGAGGACCACACAAGAGCTGACTCCATGGCCTTTAGTCTGGATCCAGAGTCCACACTCCTCCAGCTTCCTCGCTGCCATGAGTGGCCTCTGGGGGACCCTGGGTTGCCCATGCTCGGCATGCAGACAGAGAGTGTGGAGGTGGTAGGCTCCAGTTCTTCTCAGAGAGGGCAGGAGGCTCCTTCCTGTGCCCACCTCCCCAGGGTCCTCTCCCTGCACCTCTCCAAAGGCCCATGCATCCTCCCAGGCCCCAAGAGCCGAGCAGGGGGCACTGGAACCAGCTGGATGACCACAGGATGAGAGGAGGGAAGAAGGCATGCAGGGAAGACTGCACCAGACCCAAGGGAAAAAAAAAGTATTTAAATATACATTGCTGGATTGTTGGGCTAAGCAACAACCACAGAGTGACGTGACAACAGTCTCCAAATATTTAAAACGTGTGAGTCCTTAGGAAGGAGAATTTTTTTTAGCCTGGAATGAGGAAGGGAGGCGCTGGGGGATGGGTTGGTGAGGAGCAATGGGACAGGATTCAGGAGGGAGAAGGAACTTGGAAGTCAGGTTCCACTTTCCCTACCTTTGCTTCAGTTTCCTCCTCTGTAAAGTGGGGTGAGTGAACTGAATATTCTCTAAGGTCAGCCCAACTCTGATGTTCTTTGGGAGAAAAAAAAGCTTTTACATCAGACAGCAAGGTGCTGTCTGTCCCTGAGGAGAGGCAGAGAAGAAAACAGCCCTCTGGGGCATTCCTGTCGCCTGTGAGGGTACCAGGCTTGGGGTAGCACAACCACATGATAGGGCTTCCTACCATTTCAGATTCTCCATGTCACAGTCCACTTTAGCAGGGTTATTTCCTGGGACAGCAAGTGAGGGGGTAGGAGAGGGAGGCAGATGGGGCTCTTGGGAAGGATTAATTTTTGCTTCTGGAAAAGGGCATTGCCTGAGCTCTGTTTCCCAAAGTGGGATCCCCCGAGCCCCAGATCCTGGCCCTACCCAGATGTCTATGCAGAGAATCCCTGAGCAGAGCCTGAGGGTTTGTTGTCCTGACCTGCTTGTCTGTTTTCCTCCGGGTTCCACACAGGCTGCAGCCCCATCACACCGGAGACCAGAGGCCAAAGAGCCTACAGCACTGGGTGCCCCAGACACAAACCCTACCACCCTGAGCCATTCGTGGTTCCATAGTTGGGCCCCAACAACTCTCCCTGATGTCTGACCTGAGCCTGTTTTCCCAAGGGAGACAGTGCATTCGGGCACCCCCTTCTCAAGACAGGCTCTAATAGAAAGTGTCTGACTTAAAACTCATCATCACTATTGGAAAACTGAAGGGCCCCTACACTCCAGCCATTCATCTGAGCCCCCTCTGCATCCTTCACACCCCACTCTCATCCCCTCCGTCCTCCCTCTCACCGCCTGATCCTCTCAGGCCTCCTTCAAACCGCCTGGTCCACCTGCCCTTGCCCTTCTGTGCCCACCGCCACCTGCTCAGACACAAAACCAGCTTTCCAATGCATCTTAGTCCCCAGCCCTTTACCCTCAACCTCTGGGGCCTGCTGTGTGCCAGAATCTGGAAGGTTTCTGATGTTAGGGAGGGGACAGGATGCTTATTCCCTCTGGTGTATAAAACATCCCAGCCAGGTCTGGGCCAACTCCCAGCAATCAGGCACATTAATACCACTGCAGGGAGATCCATGAATATTCACGCCAAGTGGGGATAAATAAAAGGCTATAAATAGCCTCAGTTCAGGGCAGGTTTTGCCTCCAAATGAGTTACATAAAGCCTCTCTGTTTTTTGGTTTCTGTGGCTAAGAGAGTAAGGGCCTCCCCTTCCACCTGGGCCAGGACCCACTTAGCTCTCAAGGGTCCCCTCCCCACTCCGTCTGCAGATTCCATCGCCGTCCTGTGGTCTGTGGCAGCCCATTTCTCTGATCCTGCCCCTGAGAGCTCCATGTCCCTCCCTTCTCTAGGCTGCTCTGCCCCAACCCTGCACGGGGGCAGGGAGGGCTTCTCGTTGCATAGACTTTGCAGAGCACCTCGCTGGGCTATCACCAGTCCTGTGACACAGAGGGATTTCTGGTGATGGTCCGGCGCCATGTAGACAGGGGTGTTGGTTGAAATGGAGGCATCACCCAAGGAGACTAGGGGAGATGCTCGGCACACCGGGGCCTGTGTTCATCCCTGGCACCGCCTGCTCTGTGGACCGGGCGTGCACCCTCCCCACGAGGCCCAAGGGCAGACTTGGAAGGAGAGACTTCCACGGGGTGCCCTGAGTCATTGGAGCAAGGGCAAGGCCACTGTGGGGCCAGGACCCAATGCCAATGCAAACCCGAATGGTGATGAGGACAGAGCCAAGCCTGTCCTTATGATGCTTTCATGCAAATTACAACTAGACTTTGCTTCCACATAGGCCCACCCTCCAGCCCACCCTCGGCTCAGCACTGGAGTGCAGGCCATGCGATGCAGAATCACATGCCATGACTGCCACATGGAACACCGTGGGGCTTTGAGGAGGGCGCCTAGCACGTGGGCCCCAGTTCCAGGGCCGGCTCTCAGATGCACAGCGGGTAAGACACCTCTTAAATGGCTTTGAAGGCAGCCAACCCTGGGGCCCCCAGGGACTGATGGTGAGCTTGCCAGACTCTCTGGGGAAGGACTGGCCTGTGTATTTAGCAGGGAATTGTACTGTGATGTCCTGCAGATGGGGGGCAACACCCAGACTGCTCAATGTTGAATTGTCACCTGCATGAGACCCACAGACCAGGGAGACCGGGCTTTTAAAGACCCTTTGGACCTTAGGTAGTCAAAGCTTGGCTCTCTGGAACTGGCTGCCCTGGGGAGGCAGGAGTCTTGGGCTGGTGCTGAGGAGGCCGAGCGGCCCCCTCGTCCTGCAAAGCCCCTTCATGCTCGCACCTGCGCCCCAACCCCAGCCCGTTAAGAGGAAGCAAGTGGTAGATAATTAAGCAAACACCACAAAACAAAAAAAGGATGACACGTATAGACAAATGGAGAGGAGGAACTAAGCCTGAGAAGGGACTGCATCAGCTCACCTACCCCTCCCCACCTTCCCTGGAAGATGGAATTATGACCTGAAATCACTGGATACATATTTTATTATGTGGATAATTTAAAGGATTAGAGTGAGACAAAGAATTCATAAGCTGTAGTCACATTAGAAGACAAATTGTTTCCATTAATCTCTGAAGAAGAGAGGGAAGGAGAGAAATGGGAAAATGTAGGCGGGCG